GCCCAGCCACAACCCGACTTATCATTCAAGGAAACCAAAATCGGCGCTCGAAAGTGCATGATTAATGGTTGTAAAATTGAAGTGAACTTTTTTTCTGCACCTATTTGTGAGAAACATTTGATATACTCGGAATTCTAAGCATTAGGCTGGTTTTTCTAGGATTTTACGCATGTATGTGACATTTGAATCTTCACTATTAAGGGTATATGGTAGGGTATCTTCAGAACGCTTGACAGCATCGAATCAAATCCACTGCAGACACTCGTCCAAACGCTGCTCTAGTGCGGTATCAGTCATCTTTATCACTCCTGTTGAAAGCGAGTTCTAGAGATTTGTGGCTCTTGGCGACAGTAAATAGACCAGCGGATTAAAGCTTTTGCAACGTAAAAGAATACTCCCCGCGTCCGTTGTTCAGTTTGTAAAGGAAAATGGTTTGGCAGCTCTGGGTTCTGACGCATATCAGATCACCCATAGACGACGATGCAATACTGAAGAAATCGATAGCTTACAGACTATCCTCATAGCTGATCTCACAGAGTCTGACAACAAGTCTAGTAAGGTACATTGTACTCGCTCCAACCTGATTGACTCAGCAGCCGTGCAGGGCATGTTGCTGCGTCACCGTATTCAAGCCTCACGTTTGATGGAAGATGTGCAGCCATCTGAAGGCGTTCTATGTTAGTCGATCAACTATCTGGTAGGTCTCAGTATGCTCCATTATTGGGCTTCGTACCACGCTTCTGCTATTGGGGACTTGTGCGATTCGCTACTCCAAGCTATCGGTTCCCTTGAGTGATCACTAGATCCTTGTGAATGTGAGTTTGTACCTTTTGTTCTCCATAACATGGTCTTGTGTCATAACGAAACGGGTGAGATGCAGACCCTATGGCTGTTGTCACGAATCTTAAATAAGAACGTCGCTATAACTCCATGATCTCTTTTTCTTTTTTTCTTTTTACTTCCTTTTATTGAATACACAGTGATGCAATTTTCGGGAAGGGGGAAGCGGCCAATCAAAGGGCTGCCATGGGGAAAGTCAGGCGGTGGTGGTGGGGTTCAAACACGTCCCCCTAGGTGGTAATTTAGTGACGTTACCACCGGGCCACCACGCACGATTTTTTCGCAAAGCGGTCCATTATAAGCTGTAGATAACTTCCGAATCAGGTACAGAAAAGCAATCCTAATAGTATTAACCGGAGAGACTCAAGTGTCTATCCATTGAACACAGTGATAAATAACAATCCTTTATCTGGGGCGAACTCTGTCAAATATCTTAGTGCAACCATAGATAGCAATCTTAATTGGTCCGCCCACATCCACAACTACATTGGCAAACTGCGGCGCCTATCATTTCAAATACGAAGGCTCAGGCAGTTTCGCGCATCCCAGTCAGTTATTTCTACCTTTGTTTATCAGTGTGTTTTCCCCATCTTACTCTACTGTTCCCCAGTCATTTTTCCTGGCTTACTCAAACAGGATTTTAAATTCTTACGCCGCGGTCTAATCACTATTAATCGTGTCTCTTCTATTCCTGTGAATGAGTTAGCTATAAAGCTTTCGGAGTATCACGTAACTTCCTTGCTGAGAGGATTCTCACAGATCCTGACCACCCATTGCACGCAGAACTGACACGTTATTGTTCTCATCATTCAGCACGCTCCCGATTCCGTCAAATTTCATCTCGAATTAACGCTTACCGCAATTCACCTGTACCGTATCTTGCTCGTCTACCCATAAACAAAGAGCGGACAATAAATGAACCTTGGATTATGAAATGTCCTATGTCTCTAAAAACGTTTCTCTCCGTTAATTGTGTACATTGTGACGGTAATCGTGTATGATTTTTTTAACTGAAAGGTGAGCTTCAGTGCTTGCAAAAGTTATACACAATACAATACAGACTAATTGTCCCCCACCTTCAAAGTTGGGGTCCGAACAGCTGCAACTATTTGGTTGGTCATAGTGAAGGATATGACAACTAACCGACAGTAGTGGCGTTCTTGTCATTTCTTATTAAGCAGAATGCTGGAAAAGATATATATGCATAGTTAGATTGTGCTCTCTGTGTGTTCACTTTCTTTGCCTCTCTCCATTTGGGCCCAAACTGTAATTGTATACATTGCGAGTTTGGCAACGATCAGTGAAGCAAACTTCATCTCGCTGTATGATGATGATGATGATGATGATGGTGATGGGCGGTGGTGGCACGGCTTGAACTCCTGGTCGCTATTTCGATGAACTTAACCAATTGACCACAAGTGGCCGATTGAATGGATATCTGTACTCATAAATGCTCTACGTATGTATCATGCTAAATATACCCCTTACTGGCATTTTTACTTGCGGTATCGTGTC